GTGGTAGACTTCACCTGTGAAACTGAACAGTACTCTAGCTTTTGGGGGAATCGTTTTTATTTATTTATTTATTTTTGAGATGGGGTCTCGCACTGTCACTGGGGCTGGAGTCCAGTGGCGCGATCTCAGCTCACTGCAACCTCGGCTTCCCCGGTTCACCCCGATTCTCCTGCCTCAGCCTCCCGAGCTGGGATTACAGGCGCCCACCACCACACCCGGCTAATTTTTTGTAAGTTTGGTAGAGATGGTGTTTCACTATGTTGGCCAGACTGGTCTTGAACTCCTGACCTAGTGATCCACCCACCTAGGCCTCCCAAAGTGTTGGTATTACAGGCGTGAGCCACCATGCCCAGCCGGGGGAGTAGTTTTTAGTGATTGATTCTATTACTTATAATGTCATCAGTTTCTTTTGGAACCAGGTTTGGTAACTTACGTTTTCCATGGAATTTTTCTAATGTATTTATATATGTAGATGAACATAGTACCCTTATATTTAATTTAATGTTCTCTGTATCCTATTTTGTGTTCTTCACGTTGATTTCTTTGTTCTTTCCTACAGGAACAGGAAATATAGTGGTCATTATGATTAGCTATCCAAAAGGAAGAGAAATTTTGGAGCTGGTGCAGAAAGGAATTCCAGTAACGATGACCATAGGGGTTGGCACTCGGCACGTACAGGAGTTCATCAGCGGTCAGTCTGTGGTGTTTGTGGCCATCGCCTTCATCACCATGATGATTATCTCGTTAGCCTGGCTAATATTTTACTATATACAGCGTTTCCTATATACTGGCTCTCAGATTGGAAGTCAGGTAATGATGGATAACTCTGAATTTTGATTTTTAAAAGATAGTTCATAAAAATGCCCTGTATGTATTCCTAGAAGTTACATTTGACCGTATTCTTTTATTTTTGCTTATATTATTTAAGTATTCACATGACTTTTTGGAAATCACTTTTTAATTGGACTATGTTAAATTTTTTGTTTTGTGGGAAATTAGATACCTTTAAGTCTGGGTTACCTTTTGCACATTTGTTTCCTGCAGGAACCCTCTTCGTCCCTTGCCAGACACAAAGGAGTGATGAAAAGGCCTGAGTTAAGGGTGGACCTGTCCTTAGGTAGCCCTCATTCTCTGATGAGACCTAAAAGTGAGGAGCAGAGAGGAAATGGGGGCCTCTCTGTCTCCATCGTGGAGCTGTAGTAAAGCCATTTATCTGTCTCAGTGACAGCGAAGAGAAGGGCCGTCAGAGCCAGTGGCTTCCCAAGGCAGGCCTTTTGAACATCCCACTTATTTCTGTCATTGTGGAAAGTTGACTGTTCTGTCTTGAGTACTAGGAAGAGGCCTTTTCCTTTTAGGTACTTGAGTAGATGAGCATATGGTACCCCTATCCTTAGCTGCTTTCTTTCTTGACAATATTTAAACATAAGATGTGGTTTCTTCTTCAGAAAAGAAATTGAAAATCAGTACTCTTGGTCACACACCTCTTAATGTTCCATATGGCTGTTCTGCATATTAAGACTTGAATGGCTTTTGTTGTTTGGGGGCTTTTTCATTAAGTTGGTGCAAAAGTAATAGCGGTTTTTGCCATTAAAAGTTATTTTCAGTATAGTCATTTGACGTTGCCTTTCAAGTGAAATGTTTTCTGTATGCTTATGTGTATTGTATTTGTGACTTTTAAGAAAAATAGTGATTTAATTTAAATTTTTCAATAACTATATTAATATTTTCCCACCCAAGAGCCACAGAAAAGAAACTAAGAAAGTTATTGGCCAGCTTCTACTTCATACTGTAAAGCATGGAGAAAAGGTAATATTTTCATGGGTTTTTTTTTGTGGTTTAGAGTAGAGAATATGCTGTACGTGTTTATTTTAAAGAAGGATTGGCAGAAATATTTTGCCATTGAGAAGAGCCTTCTAGACCTGCATTAATGTGGTAGCCGCTAGTCACATACAGCAATTTGCATTTAAACGAATTTAATTTAAAATTGAGCCCCTCACTGGTGACAGTTCAAGCAGTTTGGGAGCCACAGTGGCTGGTTGCTGCCCTCCTGGCCAGCTCTGACATTCCCAGCCAGCAGTGAGGAAAGTGGTGCTGGTTAGAACCAGGTAACTGTAAAGACGTGGAGGAGCATACAGTCTTCACCAGCCCTTGATACCTTCAGTTCATTTCTGTTAAATCTGAGACTATGTGTCCACTCCTTTAGTTCCAGAGAGAACATGTTGGCATTTGTGGGGAAGGAGAGAAAAGGGGTTTTTAAAACTACTTTTGGAAAAGGAAACATTTTGACATGGCCAATCTGACACTTAAAAGTTCAAAATCATACCAGAATTTTAAAGCATTTTTGAAATAGGACAGATCCTGAATCTAGAAGCTCAGATTCTTGGAGAATAGATGCCTTAAAAGGAAAACTGTTGCTAATGCGTAGTATTTATTCTTTTCATAGTTCTTCTGGTGTGCTTTAAAATGTTGATAATTGTGTTGACCTGCAGCTATGACTTGGTGTAGCTGTTTGGATTTTCATGTTATCTCACTAAGTTATCAAAAATCTGTTCCACCCTCCAGTCTCTATTCCCCTTCAGAAAGAAAGAGTACCTGCACTTATGGTGTATATCTCTTGCTTTGACCTTAAAGGATTAAAGCAAAAATAACACATTAGCTTACAGACCTTTCATTTTTTTTTTTTTATTTGGAATTGATAGTAATGAGGCTTCGAGAATTGTATTGGTGGCTACCATTCCTTTGCTAATTGCTTTCGTACTGCAGTTCAATTTTAACAGTTTGTGCAAGGTATTGTTTTCTTTCCATGTAAATGTGTTGAACAGAAAAAGTAAAAAAAAAAAAAAAAAGATCGCATCTCATGGCTTAAGATTAGTGTCTGATTTGCAGATCACTCAGAAGGTCCTTAGGGATAGTTTCCGGTTAATGCCTGTGACAAACTCTGCACACATTCAGCATAGTCAGTTACTTGACAAGCATGTGGTTTACGTTCCTCTTGGAACTTGCCTTCTTAGCCTCCTTAGCAGGAAATCGCAGTTCTTTTTTTTTCTTCTTTAATAAGACAGTCTCACTCCGTCACCCAGGCTGGAGTGCAGTGGCGCAATCTCGGCTCACTGCAAGCTTCGCCTCCTAGGTTCACGCCATTCTCCTGCCTCAGCCTCCCAAGTAGCTGGGACTACGGGCACCTGCCACCACACCCAGCTAATTTTTGTATTTTTAGTAGAGATGGGATTTCACCATGTTGGCCAGGATGGTCTCGATCTCCTGACCTCGTGATCCGCCCGCCTCGGCCTCCCAAAGTGCTGGGATTACAGGCTTGAGCCACCGTGCCTGGCCGGAAATCGAATTTCTTAAGTGTGAGAAGACGTAGATGTATTTGTTTAATTTACTGAATCGAATCTTTGAGAACACAAGTAAATTGATATTATCCTCTTCCCATACAGAACATTTTTGAAAATATGCTTCCAGGGACTGTTTCTTGAAAGTTGTCAAAATAATGGTTGAGAAAAAGAGGAGCCTTGCAAAAAAGCCTTATGGTGTATATATTTTTAAGAAGATTCCTAAATGATCCATGAGGTATATACAGATGGCCCCCAACTTCCAATGGTTTGGCCTAACAATTTTTCAACTTTATGACAGTGTGAAAGCAATACGCATTCAGTAGAAACCATACTTCGTGTTGTTTTTAACTTTCAGTATGGTATGCAGTAGATTATATGAGAGAGTCAGTACTTTATTATAAAATAGGCTTTGTGTTAGATGAGTCTGCCCAAGTGTAGGCTAATGTAAGTGTTCTGAGCATGTTTATGGTAGGCCAGGCTAAGCCATGATGTTCAGTAGGTTAGGTACATTGAATGCATTTTACACTTAATGATATTTTCAACTTACAATGGATTCAGTGAGATGTGACCCCATGGTAAGTTGAAGAACAGCTGTACACAGATTTTCTTGCAATTTTACATTTTAAACTGTACAAAAAAATGTGTTTTCTTCAGACTACATTGTATTCCATTCTAGAGAAAATAAAAATTAGTGTTGTCTAATTTTTATTTTCTTGTAGACTCATTCACAGTAATGTATAAAGTTGCAAACCATTATTAGAGATTTTAAAAATTATTTAATCATTCTTGCCCCACATATGATTACTTTCATTGAAACATACAATTTTAAATGTTGTTACAAGTTCATTTTAATACAGTCTTTGATAACAATATTGACATATAAAATCAAATGTGGCCGCGCCTGTAATCCCAGCACTTTGGGAGACAGAGGCAGGAGGATCGCTTGAGTCCGGGAGTTTGAAACCAGCCTGGTCAACATGGTGAAACCCTGACTCTTAAAAAAAATAAATAGGCTGGGCGTGGTGGCTCACGCCTGTAATCCTAGTACTTTGGGAGGCCAAAGTGGGTGGATCACAAGGTCAGGAGTTCGAGACCAGCTTGACCAACATGGTAAAACCCCATCTCTACTAAAAATACAAAAACTAGCTGGGCATGGGTGGTGTGTGCCTGTAGTCCCAGCTACTCAGGAGGCTGAGGCAGGAGATTCACTTGAACCCAGGAGGCGGAGGTTGCAGTGAGCCAAGATGATGCCACTGCACTCCAGCCTGGCAACAGAGCGAGACTCTGTCTCAAAAAATTAATTAATTAATAAGATAAAATGTTTACTGCTTCCATATTGACAGGTGGTGCACATGGCTAAATATATGTTTAAATACAGCAATTACATAAGAACAGTGTAACTGTGTTCCATAAAATGAACTGCCTAAATTTGCAGCCATATGCTGGTACTGATTGGGAGTCTCTGAGTCCCTGCCCGAGCATCCTGGGAAGGAGAATCCTGCTGGCCTGTCTTGTGTCAGATGGCCACTGTGGCCCGGGCTGCCTTGGTTAATGGATGAGACCAGGTGTGTAGATCCAGGAGTTATTCCAGAGAAGTAGGGAGGGCTGATTACCACCAAAGAGGTTCATGACCCATAGATTCTTAGAAGTGGAAATTTTGTCACAAGACTACTTTCTCCCCAACAATTTTTGTTTCTTTGTACCTTTATTAAGTAGTTAGATGAAAAATGGGAGCTTACTCTAATTTGTCATTCTAAGTTTTATGTTTGAAAAGTAATTTATTTCATAATATAGCAGACATTTGCATTTCTACAGCATTTAAAACATGAATACTTTTTAACAACCCGTGAACACTTGCTTAGTATTTAAACATTTTAAACTGTACAAAAATGTTTTCTTCGGTCTACATCATATTCCATTCTAGAGAGACTAGTGGTGTCTAATTTTTATTTCCTTGTAGACTCATTCACAGTAATGTATAAACTTGCAAACCATTATTAAACACTTTAAAAATTATTTCATCGTTTTTGCCCTGCATATGATAAATGATAGTATTTACTTTCATTGAAACATATAATTTTAAATGTTGAAAGTTCTTTTTTTGTTGTTGTGCCTTTTGAGATGGAATCTTGCTCTGTCACCAGGCTGGAGTGCAGTGGTGCAATCTTGGCTCGCTGCAACCTCCACCTCCCGGGTTCAAGCGATTCTCCTGTCTCAGCCTCCCGAGTAGCTGGGACTACAGGCGTGCACTACCATGCCCAGCTAATTTTTGTATTTTTAGTAGAGAGGGGTTTCACCATGTTGGCCAGGATGGTCTCAATCTCTTGACCTCATGATCTGCCTGCCTCAGCCTCCCAAAGTGCTGGGATTACAGGCATGAGCCACCGTGTCTGGCTGTGAAAGTTCATTTTAATACAGTCTTTGATAACAATATCTACATAAAAAAATCAAACATCTGGCACGGTGGCTCAGGCCTGTAATCCCAGCACTTTGGGAGGCTGAGGCAGGAGGATCGCTTGAGTGCAGGAGTTTAAGACCAGCCTGGTCAACACGGTGAGGTCCTGTCTCTTTTTTCTTTTTTTTTTTCAGATGGCGTCTCGCTGTCACCCAGGCTGGAGTGCAGTGGCGCCATCTTGGCTCACTGCAGCCTCTGACTCCCTGGTTCAAGCGATTCTTCTGCCTCAGCCTCCCGAGTAGCTGGGACTACGGGCATGCGCCACCATGCCCAGCTAATTTTTGTATTTTTAGTAGAGACGAGGTTTCACCATGTTGGCCAGGATGGTCTCGGTCTCCTGACCTCATTATCGGCCCTCCTTGGCCTCCCAAAGTGCCGGAATTACAGGTGTGAGGCATTGCACCTGGCCAAAACCGTGTCTCTTTAAAAAAATAAATAAATAAAACAATAATAATAAATAAAATGTTTACTGCTTCCATATTGACAGGTGGTGCACATGGCTAAATATATTTTTAAATACAGTAATTACATATGAACAGTGTATTAGTATTTAAACACTGTTCATATCTGATTAGGCAGACAATGAAATTTTTTCCTTTTCAGCCATATTATTTAGATAATCCCCTGATAGTGGTAAACACCAAGTAGAGTTATTTGTGTTTTAGTTTCGCTGGTTGTACCACTGTAGAAGGGAATTCATCATTGTTGTAGTCCGGATGTGGTGAGTTTATCAAGGGATATACTATGTGCCAAGAATGTAGTAACACTTTCTTGTTCTTTTTACAGGGAATTGATGTTGATGCTGAAAATTGTGCAGTGTGTATTGAAAATTTCAAAGTAAAGGATATTATTAGAATTCTGCCATGCAAGTATGTTCTTTTTACCTACTGAGATGTTAAAAATTATTTGACAAGTTTTAGGTGTCTGACAAAATAGTTATTTGTTTTTTATGATATGAAGATCTTGTTATTTGTGATCATCTCCTCTTTTTAGAAAAGCAGCTTGGATTTTAAATGTAATGTCTTCACTGCTGTTTAAGATTGCTTTACCTAGGAGATTCTTAGGTTACATTAAGACTCGTTAAGTATCTTTGTCCTAGATTGGCTTTTAGTCTTCTAAGCAAGGCTTTATCAGAATCCTAGGAATTACATTATACGTTTAGCAGTGCAAAAAGTAAGCTGTGTTGGGAGCAAGAAAAATGAGGGACCAGGGAGAAGGGCCTGAAACAGCCTAAAGGAAGTGGGTTGGGGAGGGCAGTAGTTTGCTGTTATTTGCACCCTGGACTTGTGTTCCTTCTAAGGTTGTTTAAAATCAGTATTCCTAGCTGGCTCACACCTGTAATCCCAGCACTTTGGGAGGCTGACTCAGGTGTTCAAGACCAGCCTGGTCAACATGGTGAAACCCCGTCTCTACTGAAAATACAAAAATTAGCCGGGTGTGGTGGTGTACACCTGTAATCCCAGCTACTCAGGTAGCTGAGGTAGGAGAATTGCTTGAACCCGGGAGGCAAAGGTTACAGTGAGCCAAGATTGCGCCACTGCACTCCAACCTGGGTGACAGAGTGAGACTCCATCTCAAAAAAAAAAAAAAATTTTTTTTCCTTTATTCTGGTTACACTAAGGGTTTTGTTTTAGTAGCAGGAAGTTGCTTTTAAAAAAAAAAAAGAACGAAAAGGGTGGGCGTGGTGGCTCATGACTGTAATCCCAGCATTTTGGAAGGCCAAGGCAGGTGGATTACTTAAGGCCAGGAGTTTGAGACCAGCCTGGCCAACATGGCGAAACCCCGTCTCTATTACAATAAAAATACAAAAATTAGCCAGACATGGTGGCGCATGCCTGTAATCCCAGCTACTCAGGAGGCTGAGGCATGAGAATTGCTTGAACCTGGGAGGTAGAGGTTGCAGTGAGCTGAGATCACGCCATTGCACTCCAACCTGGGCAACATGGCAAGACTCTTTCTCCAAAAAAAGTAATGGGATACTTTAATTGATAACTTTTTAAAAAGAATTGCTTTGTTAAAAGGGTTCATTTTGTGTGCAGAAATGGTATAAGTCTGATGAATTTTAATTATACTTCACAGCTATTAGAAGCAGGTCACAAGTCAGTATGTAATTATATTTTGCTTTGTTTGCAGAGTATTTTAGTATATATCCAAGTACTTTATAGTAGATTGATAACTGTGTGAAGGAAATGCAGCCATGCATATCAGGGTAACCAAATGAAAGGTTCCTGACTAAAGGTAGCTGGTTTAAACCTACAAACATTTACATGTGATTGGTACGATGGGTACTGAATAAACTGGGTTGGGTCAGTGTAAGTTGATCATGTCATGTAGAAAGTTATTAAAGTAGAGAAAAGAGTTTTTACTCCAGGCTGGTTTAGGGCAAGTCTTTCTAACTTAAAAACAATGTCCAGGAAGCTGCACAGACGAGCAGTGCTAGGTCATGCTGGTGGCTGAGCTGGAGTTTGGACCTGACCCTCAAATGCAGGCACATGTGCACATTTCCTGGTCTCCTTACCAGGCTTTTGACTTTTCCCTTATTTTCTCCTGTGCTTTATTTATGTAACAAATTTCCCAATAAAGCCAACATGTTCCTTTTATGTTTTTGTAAAAATTATTTCTTAAGTACTGGTTTTTTTTTT